GCAATAATACAATATTAAAACAGAGATTTTCTTTTAGAGTTATTCTAAATATTTATCAGAATAGGCCTTTCTGCATTCCAACAAACAGTGGAGCCAAGTCGAGGTCAGGGTGGACATAGATACAGCAAATGTATGAAAATGTCCACCCCAACCTCACTCTGGTGCTATTGTTCGAGCGCACTGAAGCAGAATGCGGGAAAGGTCTACCAGTATTAGTGAAAATAGCCTTTGTAGAGGTCTGTTTTTGGATCAGTGCCAAAATTTCAAATGAAAGCTATTGAGCAGCGTTATATAAATTACGGTATTGTTTGTTGTACTGTACAAGGTGGTTCTAACTTTTACTGTGCATCTGGGATGAAACCAGAGGGTGTGAATCTGTTCAAAGACATTGAGCAACACTAGACAAATTATCTGACACCAAACTTGTTTTGATGACTATTTAAGATTGATAAATCGTCTATGTATCCATGTAAATCTAGTGTTTAGATGAAAAATGTCACAAAATTTGTCTTCAAACTGATTTCTCTCTCAGCAAGTCTTGGAAATGTACCAGCTGACTGATAAATCAGACAAAGACAAATTTTGCCACATAATTCATCTAAACACCAGATTTATACCAGGGATCATTTATCCATCTCAGGCAGACTACTTTTTTGTCTCAGACGTATAATTCATCTGTAGTATAAATTTGCTCATTTTGAAAATTCTGTAATGTTGCATATTAATTTTCAACTTCCGCACCTGTTGTGAGGCCGTGTGTTTGTATAATGGTATTTGCAGCATTCTCCACTGGCCTAGCTACAGCATCATGCGTTCCAGGAAGAATAAAAATCTCTGGGCTGTAAGCCTACAAGAAGGTTAAGATGTATGTACATGACTATATATTCTTGTTGTATAATATTATTATAAATTAAAAAAATAATAAATATCAACAAAACCAATTTTCTTTGTCCCACAGTATCAAATGCTGACTATTGGTGATTATAATCCATCACATATTTTTATTTGACTGTGATTGGTCTAAATGCATCACATGACTGAATAGGCCCCAGCTAAAACTAGCAATATCCAAGTGATATTCCTCAAGTTTCAAAACTGTGCATGTTGCGAAAAATATTTGAAGGGCAATAAATCTAATAGCCACCATTTGGTGTGAAAATATGCTCAGAAATTTGTCCTTAGACAGAAGTGTTCCTGAAGTTCATTGTTTGCTATTCGGAACAGATAAATTGTCCACAGACAAATATCAGAGCATATTTCCATGGCAAATGGAATCTATTGTTAAGTTTATATAGTAACTTCAACATTAATAGTCACAATGCCTCCCAGAGCTCTGGCTGGTATACTATTATAAATGACCAAGGTTGGTGTTGGTAGTTTTCAAATATTAACCCCCTAGAAGAAGTCATTGTGGTCTTCTAATATTACAGGTACTGCCAGCAACAAGGCAGCCACCTATTTCAAATCATAATGAAAGCACTGTCACACTGTAGGTGTACACGTAGCTGATGGCGACTTACATGTCGCCAGGGTAACTACTAAAGAAATTTGAAAGAACCCTGTCTAAGCAAACATGTACACAAATATCACGAAGTAGGTTTCCCTTTTCACATTGAGATGATTTGGAGAATCTCTCATTATTACAAAATTAACAAGGGTGTATTTTAACAGATAAAGGAAACAACCTTACCACAGGGGGTAAAAAGTCCTTGGCCTTGAGCAGACGTTCTTGATTTTCTTTTATCTGAATGAAAGAACCACAAATTGGCATTGATAACATTAGAGTGCAAAATTTTAGAAAACACTTATAGAGTTTTTTCCCAGTTGCTTTTTAACAGAAGTCTGCCTGCCTATAGGATTACTACATAGATGTACAAAGACAGTGGAAATTTCCTACTAAAACCCCAAAAATTGTGTTTTTATAGAAAGGCAAGGAATCTTTTAATTATAAATAACAAATTGGCTGAATAAACAGCCAAAAAAGTGACTTTAATAATGAGAAAGTAACTGACAAGTTACATTTTTTTGGTTTTTAATAACTGTTCTGCAAATTTAGTAACAATAATACTAATAATAATAATACTAATAATAATAATACTAATAATAATAATTAATAATAATAATAACAATTGCCAAAGAGTCACCCTCGCGAGGACGTGAGGGTGACGAGGCAGCAGCATTATAACGCCGACACGCAAGTTAATTTGGTACAGGCAGAAGAAATCTTGAATGAAAAAGTAAGCATTAAGATAATGTAAGAGTGATATCATCGGTGATTGCTTTCGAGTTAGCCAGTGGCATAACAGTATTTTTATCTAAACCAATCACATCAGGAGGATCATAAGACTTTCTGGAAAGTCCCTCATCTTGTTTATTCAGTACCCACATGCTTTCCGCGTTAATCAGCATGTCACTTCGCCGAGTTTGACACCTCTCTAATTTGCTATGTGTTTATGGATTGTTTAGGCTCATTTCTATTGCAAGATATGTTTTTAAATCTTCAAGCAGTTGCTTTCAAGGGACAAAATATGAAATTTACCGTGAACATGTTGCTAACTTGCATTCTATATTTGTGATGCCAGGCCTGGCTGTTTGATTAGAACTGTTTGCAAGTACAGTAGATTGATTCTTATCACGGGTATCACATTTGTCATCGTACGTTTTTCTTCGGAGATGCCGTAGCTTTACTTCGATAAAGCTATACATTTGTCTACAGATTTTCTTATAAGTTTCTTGCATCTATCTGATCGAACTTATGTCGCTCGATGTATAGGTTTATTCCTCATTTTGTTTGTTCTGGCACCACATGATTCAAATGTAGCTGTTTACGTGCAAGTCTGTTGACTGTTTTGCGTGTTTATATGCCATTGGTCGACTTAGTTTTAGTTCAGGCAAGACCATGGTTTCGATCGCCCATGTGGATCTCATCAGTTGCTGGTATTTCTAAGATACTCTGAAAAAATTTTCACTCGTCACACAACTGTCACAGTTTTTACTCGTTGGCACTCTACCGGCAGGTATCACTAGTAATAATAATAAAATAGCTGCGTGGATGATAAAGTCCAACTTCTCACATGTACAGCTCCTAGAATGCTTCATTTCTTATTCACACACAAATGCCTATAGCAAAAATGTACAGTATTTTAGAGCAAAACCAGAGAAGACTACGTTTTATCATTTACATCACATTCATATTCGAAAATTGAACGCAAAAATTAACTTCTCAACAGGCATTTATAACACGACCAGTTATGAGAATTTTATCCTTGGAAAGATAACAACACCTTCGATATATAGCCAAGCACGATAAACTTTTATTTGGTTAAAACAATCATTGTTTGAGGTAAAAACCCGAATTTTATCTCGAAAAGTGACAGAACGTAATGAAAAGCTCACAAAGAAAAGCTGGATCAAGCTTGAATTGTCATATTTTATAATAAGAACCGGGAAAAGTTGACATAACAGCTGCCTCTGTTTTGAGAACTCCCGCGCCGGTGAAATTGGAAAGTTCGAGAACCTATAAATAATTAAAATCTGCGAAACCTAACTAATAGGTAATTTGCAGCTAAAGGCATTGTCGTTTTGGCTAGCAGATGTTTTCAAGTTAATTATACACCAATATGCAAAAATCTAATAAAAAAGAATCAAACTTAACGCGGAACAACACCAGATCTGTAGAAACAAAGAGCAATATCTGGTTCTTTCAAAGAATAGATCCAAACTCAAATCCTTAGATACATAAATAGATCCTTAGATCTCGCAGAAAGCATACAACATTGGCTTTGTGTACTTTCGAGAACAGATCTTGATATCTCCAGGTTTCATAATTTTATTTCACGCGCAATAATACCTGTATAGGAAGCTAACATGTTTTAAATTGTTTCATACGTTTTCATACTTACCACAGCCATACATCTTCCAACGGATCTAAGAAACACATAATCTTCTGGAACAACTTCTGGTCCCAGTTGTTCCTCGATGTGATCTCGCAGATAATTCAAAGAAATATACGGCTGAACCCTAAAAGCATTTGAATTAGACAAGTTTAGGTACAGAACGAAGCTTGAATTGAACGGGCTTCCACGAACGGACATTTTTTTTAGCAAACGTGCTATTTCTTCTCGATTTTTGGCAAAACGACAGAATTACCTGACAAATCCCGCGGAAACAGACTCCAAAGCAATATTGTTAAAGGCTGTTCGGTATTTTTCGAGCCACAGATCCAAGGGAACGACAAATATGTGCAAATCTGCCAACTGAACAAAAGGAATAAAGTACATGTAATGCTCAATTTCACAATCAAACTCACACCGGTATATTAACGGATTTGCAGCTCATTTTTACCTCGTCCGGTGGCAAAAGGCCACTACTATGGGCAGACATCCTAAAGAATACTCAGTGTAGGCAACAAATGATCATCTTTCGGTTAAAAGCAGTAATTTTGCCAACACACTTCACCACGACTATATGCAAGCCACACTTTCTGTCGTCAAGCGTTTAGTTATTGCCCACTTACTTGTTGTTAGTCACGTGACGAAAGCTAAGTGACGTCATGCTTGCATGCATGAGCGGGAAATAAAGGTGATCGAACAATTTGATTGGTTGAAGAAAAACAAGTAGCAAGAAGTATTTACATTAGTGATTAATTTTGTATGCAGCTTAACACACTAAAGGATTTTCTTTCATCTGCCTGATGCATGAAGGCAACGATGCGTATATCCCGGGAAAACTTAAAAGTAGTCTATTTAGATCTCGCAGGTCGCACGACAGTTAATATTTTAGGGACTTTAGCTTGTACTTAAAGTCCTGTCGCATTTGCGACTTCCAGCATCATAGAGTTCAGTTATGAGACAATTAAAATCAAAACAGCTCTTACGAAATGGTAGTTAAAGAAACAAAAAAAACTCTGAATCAATATCAATGATAATTCCGTTCAAAAAGAAGAGTTAATTACCGGTTTTCTGAAAAAGAATAATTGCCCTGCTTTTGCGTAAGTAAAATATCTCACCGAGAAGTCCATAATTTTTATATTCAGCTATGTTCAAGGCAGCTGACTTTGACTTTGGCTACATTTTAACCGGCCTGTCTAGCCAGTAGAGAACAGTGTCAGATTTCGGCTATAGCATTTTTGCTGCACAAATCCGAGACACGAGCTAAAAGGTCGAATTAATATATCACGTGTTATTTAGTTCAGTTTCGAGTTCCATCAGATTACGGTACTCAGTTACTAACTTGACATTTTTGTACGTCCTACAGGCTCATTTTGTCTGCGAGAGATAACAAGTTTTACACCGCTTTACCCTGCAGATT